CTCAGTTATTGTTGCTACCATATATTAAGCAAAAGGCTGCTCCTATAAAGAGACAAGGAGGTTTTGACAGTACAGGATCAAATATATATTGGAATACCACTATTAATGGTGAGAGACCACAAATGATTGTTACAATTTAAGGGCATAAATTACAAGGCTTGGTTGATACTGGGGCTGACATTTTAATTGTGGCTACTCATCACTGGCCCCCAGAACTAGCATTAAAAGATATGTCTGTTACTTTTACTGGAATTGGTACTATGACTGGTATGAAACAGTGAACATGTTTTAGAATGTGAAGATCCAGAAGGTCAAAAGGGTAAATTACAGCCTTTTGTAGCTGATATTGCGATTACTTCATGGGGCCAAGATTTCTGAGCTCAGTGGGGAGCTACATTACAAATTCTGACTATTTAAACTCCAGCAAAAAATATGATGCTAAATATGAATTATATTCCAGGAAAACGTTTAGGGAAAAGGAAACAAGGAGTTGCTAGTTTTCAAGAACCTAAATTTAATCAATCACAGAAAGGATTAGGATATCCAAATTTATAATGAGGGCCACTGTTCCTCATTATGCTCTTCCCTTAACTTGGCTAACAGAGAACCCAGTTTTGGTGGAGCAGTGGCCTCTAACTAGAGAGAAATTAGAAATTTTAGAAAGATTAGCTCAAGAACAATGTCTAGCTCGTCATATAGAAGAAACCACTAGTCCTTGGAATTCTCCAGTGTTTGTATAAGAAAATCAGGTAACTGGAGAATGATAACTGATCTAAGAAAAATTAATGAAGTAATTCAGCCGATGGGTGCTTTACAACATGGACTGCCTCTTCCCTCTATGATACCTGAGGGATGGCCAATTATTGTTATTGATCTTAAAGACTGTTTCTTTATTATTCCATTGCAACCTAAAGACAGAGGAAAATTTGCCTTTACTGTCCCTGCTATTAATAATCATAAACGTGCCAAAAGCTATTTCTAGAAAACTCTTCCACACAGAATGTTGAATAGCCCAAGCTTGTGCCAGTACTTTGTTAATCAGC